TTGTGATATGACCCAGCTCTGGTACATGAGATACAATTGAATTTTTTAGCTTTTTCTGTCCATAGGGCCTATCTCACTAGGAATGTACAGTCAAATTACTATGGTTTAGAGTCATTTTAAACATTTCTTCTTTCTTTACTTTTGCCACTAACTTACTATACCTTTTGCCACTAACTTTTTATACCATTAGATTTGTTTAAACTTGCATCCACTAATTTTAACATCTATTAATAATTCTTGCCTAAAACAATTTGGCCAAATGGTGATTTTCTATTTCCATCATTCTTTCTGTATTTAGTATTGAAATTCTATCCCCACAAAAAGAAGTTTTCCTTCTCTTTCATTTATTATTTTACTCAATTATTTATTTGTATCAGTATGGATTCATGGATATTTATCTTATTCTATAAGAGATTGTAATCCATTACTATCATTATCTGTTTTGTTGCTCATATTTTCCAAGATTTGGTCATTAGAGCTCCTTCAGCTGGGGTCCTGTGTCCTTTCAACACATCCCCAAGATTTTTTAGCACTTTTACTTTCTGACACCACAAGATGTTTCAAGCTCTTCCTATATTTTCTCTGCCTCAGTCCTGGAATCCATCAATTCCTGTTATTGGAGAATGGTATTTTAAAAGTAAGATTTAGGCACTCACTCTGTGTGCTCCTTGCTATTGGGATGTCATTGAACTTCATCAAAATTAAATTTTTTGCTTTGCAAAGGATACTGTTAAGAAAATAAAAAAACAAGCCCCAGAAATTGGGAGAAAATATTTCTAAAGCACAAATCTAATAAAGGACTTGTCCTCAGAGTATAAAAACAAAACTCAAAACTCAATAGTAAGAAAATAGACAATCCAATTAAAAATGGGCCAAAATTTGAACAGACGCTTCACCAAAGAAGATGCATGGGTGGTAGATAAGCATATGAAATGATGCTCGACATTGTTAGCCATTTGAATATGCAAATTAAGCCACAATGACATACTACTGTACTCCTACTGAATGGCCAAAACTAAAAAACAAAAAAAATGACAGTATCAAGCGCTGGCAAAGATGCAGAGCAATTAGAGCAGTTTGACAGTTTCTTATAAAGTTACATACACTTAACGCACAACTCAGCAATCCCACTTCTAGGAATTTACCCAAGGGCAGTACAAACTTATGTTTACACAAAGACCTTACATGAATTTTATACTGGCTTTATTCATAATCACCAAAACCCAGAAAACAACCCAAATATCCTCCATTGGAGAATATATAAACAAGCTGTTACACTTCTACAGGGAAATCTTTCTTCTTAGCAAAAAATGGAACAAACTACTGACCCATGCAACAACATGGATGAATCTTAAATGCATTAGGCCAGATGAAAGAAGCCAGACCCAAAAGGCTACATCCTATATGATTCCATATACATGACATTCTGGAAGAGGCAAGACTAGATCAGAGTTTACCAGGGCCTGGGATTAGGGCACAGAATAAGTACAAAAGGGCATCAGGGAACTTTTTGGGTTAATGGAAATGTTCTGTGTCTTGCTTGTCAATGGTACATCTTATATAACTGTGAGATGTAACATGTCATGGTGGTTACATGTATTTGTCAAATTTCATAGACCTATATACCAAAAAGAATGAATTTTCCTATATATAATTTATTCCTCAGTAAAAAAGAAAAAGACAGGAGAGCAGACAAGTTCAAATCACATCTCTGAAAATGCATATTATCCATGCCTTGTCAAATGCTGCCCACGACACTTAACAGGGTGCCATTTAAATTTTCTATAACTTTTTGTGTTTGACTATAAGCCTGGAAATAGCCAGGAAACATCACGTGGATAAAGTACCTTGTACAACTGGAATGGGGTTTTACAAGAAATGATGAGAAAAGCAGCTATTCTTCTACACTGATAAAAGGTGTAAGAAGTAAACCATGTTAAGAGGCTTAAAGGCCTGAGCTCTGGAAATCTTAATTTAAGAGAGGCGGGTGGGCCAATTACTCCCTTTGAATAAAAGGCAGAAAATCTTCCCCAGCTTTGTCCAAGCCAGTGAGTCATTCTGAGTGAATCTGTTCAGAACAATTCCTCAAGGCAACAGGCCTGGCTCCTTACAGTGGTGGGGAAGAGGTGCCAGCCATCCCTGAAGAAGAGCTTTCTCTTCTGTCGGCCTCTAAACCCAAAGTCAGGTAGGTTTTCATCCTAATGTCCTTCTCCCCATCTTCTTCATCCCTTATAGCCATTCTGTACTCATCAGGCCTGGAGTCTGCAAACTATGGCCCACGGGCCAAATTCAGCCTGCAGCATGTTTTTTTACAACCTGTGAGTGAAGAGTGGTTTTTCACATTTTTATAATGGTTGAAAGAAATCAAAAAAGGATAATATTTCATGAAACATGAAAATTATATGAAATTTGGATTTCGGTGTCCGTAAATAAAGTTTTATTGGAACACAACCACATCCCTTTGTTTTTCTATTAGCTGTAACTACCTTAGCTCTACAACAGCACAGTTGAGGAGCTGCAAAAAAGACTGTGTGACTTGCAAAGCCTAAAATATTTACTATCTGGTCCTTTACAGAAAAAGTTTGCTGACCCCAGTTTAGGTATTTCCATTCTGTTGCTTCTATGGTGTTGTCTAGAGTATAAATTTATAAAAAGGCAAGGCCCAGCAGCATCCTTTACACACTAGATGATGTCTCCAGGACATCATAACAATTTGTGCTCTTGGATAATACTTTTTGCTGCTGCTAAGCAGAATGAAGACACCTAGCGTAGCAATATAAATAATCTGAGGAAACTGTGGATTCCTTGCTGCTAAAATTATCTACTTAGGTATTCCATAGTTAAGAGTATTCCACTCATAGGAAATTTGTAGAGTCCAAATCAATAACTATTCACTAAGTATTACTTCACAATAATCCAATCACTCAACTCAAAGGCCATATTACCAGTCTGTCAACTCTGCAAGTTACATGGCCTTTCCAATATAAGTACAGTTGACCACTGAACAATGCAAGGGTTAGGGGTGCCCACCCCCTGCAGTCACAAGTCCACCTATAACTTTTGACTCCTCAACAACTTAACTACTAACAGCCTACTGTTGACTGGAAGCCTTACCAAAAACAATTAACACATATTTTGTATGTTACATGTGTTATATACTCTATTCTTGTAATAAAGTAAGCTAGAGAAAAGAAAATGTTTTTCAAATTGTTGCAAATTCTTCCCCAAATTTCCAATATATTTCCTGGAAAAAAAATGCACATTTAAGTGGACCCATGTAGTTCAAACCCATGCTGTTCAAGGTCAACTGTATAAATGTAACAATCATATTCAGAGTTGTGATGGCCAGTTATACTGATTCTGGGCATTTGTCTACACACCTGTTCACATTTTAGCATTGCTCAGATTTTATTTTGACATTACTCAGATTATGAGGCCAAATGATACACTGAAAAGAATGCTGGACCAAGAATAGCACTTACGAGTCCAAAAATTTAAATTTAAATTCTTGGTTATACCACTTAGATTGGATGAATTTCCTAACATCTTGTATCCCTAATGTCCTCATCTGTAAAATAGGAATAAAAATTGCACCTCACAGGAATTCTAAGAAGTAGTAATAATTATGTGAAAGCATCATGCTCATATTACTATGAAGATGATATGGTTCATTCTATTTTGTGATCCCCTTCCCTTACACTCCCTCAACCTCAATGAATTACTTCTCTGCTACTGGGAAAGCCAATCTGCACAGTAAAAGGTTTTCTTAATCAGTGTGACCAGTAAATCATTAAAAAATCAGCTGTTTAAACTTGTTGATTAATTGCTCCTATAAACTCACTTGACTAATGTTTGTCCCTTAAGCAGACCAAGACTAAACAGTTTAATATTGTTTTTATTCTGTGCTTAGGAAAATAGTGTCATTTTGAATTAGCAGGATCAAAGATATCTCACTAATAGGAGATTATAATCAATTAATTATGAGCTACACTGCTGTAAAGAGAAAATATTTACTTCCCTTCCACAGTCTTCTTATCCTTCAAAAAAATGGGGGTGCATCATCAAATACAAAAATGAAGATCTGCTTTAACGAGTTCTGAAGTAACAATTCAAAGTGTTATTAACCTCTTCTATGGAAAACATACCTATGAAGGGTCATCAAGGGACAAAAACAATTGGCTCTAGATGCCATTATGAATAATGTCAACTGCATACATGTGTGCCAATTTGATTGATGTTGAAAAAAAAATATTGTAAAATTTTTATATTCAGAAGACCCACCTCTTTACCAAAAGAGGACTCTTCAAAGGGTTTTCTTTGGTTACTGATTATTTCTGAGATCTGTTACTGGAGAACCAATATAATGAACTTCGGTTTACCTCAGACACAGGTCAGAAGCTATAGAAGAAATAGGAACTACTCAAGCCTATGCTTCCTTTTGAAGGCTAAGAGTCCTGGGTGGAAGGGCTAAGCTGAAAATGGCAGGCTGGTGCAGGGCAAATTGGAAGGCCAGTCAAATTCAGCCAGTTAAATGGTAATTAATTCCAGTGTCACCTTGGCCAATCCATTTTCAAACCAAATATCTGTGATGAATTCATTTATCAATTCAATAACCATTCCCTTAATGCCAACGGTGTACAGGTCATGTGCTAAGCACTGGGGATTTAACAGCACCAAACTGGTGGTCAGAGGCCTAAGTTCTAGCCCTAAATCTAATATAACCAGTTGTGTGAAATGGGCAAGTGTTGCTTTATGAGCCAGGTCTTGAGTTCACAAATGTTCTCTCTCCATTCTGATGCAATTCGGTGAGTTACTCTTGGGCGTTCTTGGTCCAAATCATGCTGGTGTTATTACAGAGAATCTATTTGCTTTAATAGGGCAGTGATTAAAAGATTCAGAATTATGAAAGACTTCGGTTAGAAGGGTGGCAGTTGTTGTTTAACCAGTCTCTTTTATTCTACTGAAGATTATATACACAATAAGAATCTGACATGACTCACGAAGTTTGTTGGGCATTGGCTTGTGAGGTTTCTCTGCTTTATTTGTCTTCTGTTACCAAGCAGTAAAGATCCCACACTGAACCAGGTCATGCTCCCTTGGATGAGTCTTGGCCTCAGACAAAAAGGTCTGCTTTGCTCTTTAAAACCTAGGATGATTAAGAACAATGAGGAAAGAAAAAAGCAACCTCTGGTACCCAAAACTAATCTGATGTTCACTACTAGACCTTAATACTTTTACAAGCTTGCCTGACACTCACAGCCATGCCATTTTTGTTCTCCTGTGGGGCATAAACAAATGCACAGAATACCATCTTCAATCAAGGCTACTCTGAGATCATGATAAAAATGAAACAAAGTGAGACCACTTTATAATTGCGTTTAGGCACAAACAAAACAAGGTCACTGTGCCACCACAAAATACCCAATCATCCAATGACAGCAGTCAACCTAGACTAAACTCCTGCTTCCTTAGACTCTCCCCTAACACAGCCACTTGGAGCCCAAATCCTATAATATGTTCTTTGTAACACCTTATTATTCAGGTTATCCCATGGGTCTCTCAATGAATAATAAACCCAATTTATTTAAGCAAGTGTGCTGCCAGTGGTCTTTGGCTAAATGGCATTGACACTTCCAAAGACCTCTTGCCGCTCTCATTTGGGGCACCAAGAGCCAGGCCAAGAATTATTGCAAAGGTATAAGCATACCTAAATCTCACCATGCACAGCAAGCTGGAAAAGTTTGGCAGAATAATCCTGCAGTACAGTTACTGAACTTTTTGTAACTTTTACTTAGTTATCTCTTGGAAATGGAATCACCTAAGCCTGATCTATAAAAAGAAGAGATTGGAATAGAAGGAAATTTCCCAAACTGTGTTCCTTGGGAAACTAGTGTTCTTCAAATCCTGATAATCCTTTCCAGAAAGGATTCTGTGGAAAAATGAGTTTGACAAACTCTACATTCTAGAGTAAATCCCCTCTTATAGCTTTAGTCCAGGCTCTTTAACCTACCCTGAGAGTCATTTAAACGTCCCTTTACTTAAATCTCAGTTCCTTACCTGCACAATGATTCCTATAATATGCCCTGCTCATTTTCCAGTGTAGGTGAGCAAATAAAAAATGTGACAGGGAAGTATTTCAAAACCAGGAGGGCACTCTGTCCTGGTGAGACATGGAGGCAGCATTGAATCCATTAAAGAGAACCTTAAGGGCAGAAGCCTAGTCCAGAAATCAGGCCAAGAGGATGCATGTGTGAACTAGAGCTAGCACAGTGAGAAAGGGGAGGCTGGGTATTCCAGGGTTATGGCTGGATGACAAACCCCCTGAGAACGAGCTTAAAACACCATTTATTATGTCCACAGATTCTGCAGGCCAGAAATTTGGGAAAGGCACTATAAGGACCGCTCATCTCTACTTTAAAATGTCTGGGACCTCAGCTGGGAAGTTTCCAAGTCTGGGAGGGACTCAGTGATTGGGGATTACATTTATCTTTCTTGAAGGCTTCCTTTCTCACATGTCTGGTGTTTGAGGCTGGCTGTTAGCTGAAATACTTACTCATGATCTCTGCGTGTGGACAAGTTTGAGCTTTTCCACAGCATGATGGATGGGTTCTAAGGCAGCAAGAGGGAACTGCATGGCATTTTTATGATCTATCCCAGAAGTCACATAGTGTCACTTCTGCCATACTTTAATGGTCAAGGCAGTCATAAAGGTTCATCCAGTTCAAGGGGAAGGGACACAGACCCTACCACCCAATGGGAGGAATGTCAAGGTCACCCAGAAAGAAGAGCATGTGGGATGGGAAATACTGTCGTACCATTTTGGAAAATACAGCCTGCTATTCTGGGGCAGATACAAAGTTGATGAAGGAATATGGATTCCTGGACCTTACCGGAGGAAGACCAAAAAGAAGAAATCAAGGATTTTCCAAGATTTCAATCAAGTCTAGGTAGAAAAAATAACCACAAAAGGGAAAGCTTGAGTCAGAGTTAGATTCGGAGAAAAGACTATTTCAAAAAACGTTCCCAGTAGCTCTGCCTTTTGAGTTTGGAGAAGACCTGAGCATGTTTATTGGCAGAGATAATGGAGCCAAGAGAGCTACTGAAGATAGAAAATGGAGGCAAAATCAATAGGACAAGATGCTGGAGGAGATGTATGTGAGCCAATACTCAGGTGGGGGTTTAATTTCAAAAGGAGAAACTCTACTTCTCTGCAACAAGAGGACATAAAAGGATAGGGTGGGAGAAATAGAGCAGAATTCAGAGAAAGACAAGACAATTTGAAATGAAGAGAAGGAAAAATGAAGGATCTCAAACTGAATGGCCTACTGTTTCAGGGAAGTAAGAGGTAAGAAAGTCTATTGAAATTAAGATAAGATGTCTTATGGTCCCCAAAGAACAGAAATGACCAGACAAAAAATTGAATAAGACCTCTATAAGATATGACTCAAGTATTTCTTATTCCTATTATAATGAATTGTCATAAACAGCATGTGGCTCAAACCAATATCCTGAGAAAATAGCTGGTGGGCTTTAGAAATTAGATGGCAAGCAACTCAAAACCTTCAGATGATTTTTTAAGAATTTGCAAGTATCTTAAAGGTAGAGTAGCCTAGCTTTCTAGCTTTAGCTCTTACCAAACCACCCATGTGACAGCCAGGCTCCTGCTCAGGTGAGAAGCACTAGAATGAAGAACGTAAGTAATACAGTGGATGAAAAATCTGAATAGAATAGTGGGGTAGGGAGAGAAGACCAGAGAGATTAATGAAAGGGAAGATTAAAAAGCATGAACTCAACTAGAGGATGTGGAGAAAGGGGAACCCTCCTACACTGCTGGTGGGAATGTAAACTAGTTCAACCACTGTGGAAAGCAATATGGAAGTTCCTCAAAAAGCTCAAAATAGAAATACCACTTGACCCAGGAATTCCACTCTTAGGAATTTACCCTAAGAATGCAGCAGCCCAGTTTGAAAAAGAAAAATGCACCCCTATGTTTATTGCAGCACTATTCACAATAGCCAAGAAATGGAAGCAACCTAAGTGTCCATCAGTAGATGAATGGATAAAGAAAATGTGGTACAGATATACAATGGAATATTATTCAGCCATAAGAAGAAAACAAATCCTACCATTTGCAACAACATGGATGGAGCTAGAGGGTATTATGCTCAGTGAAATAAGCCAGGGGAAGAAAGACAAGTACCAAATGATTTCACTCATCTGTGGAGTATAAGAACAAAGGAAAAACTGAAGGAGCAAAACAGCAGCAGACTCACAGAACCCAAGAATGGACTAACAGTTACCAAAGGGAAAGGGACTGGGGAGGATGGGTGGGAAGGGAGGGATAAGGGCGGGGGAAGAAAGGGGGCATTATGATTAGCATGTATAATGTCGGGGGGGGGCACGGGGAAGGCTGTACAACACAGAAAACAAGTAGTGATTCTACAATATCTTACTACACTGATGGACAATGACTGCAATGGGGAATGTGGGGGGAACTTGGTGATGGGGGGAATATAGTAAACATAATGTTCCTCATGTAATTGTAGAGTAATGATACCAAAAAAAAAAGCATGAACTCAAGATATGAGGGGTTGGAAACACCATGCACCCCCTGCTGAGGGGGTGAATTCTTTCTTTCATACCCGGACAGTGATGTGAAGACAAAAAACAATAAATTTTTCAGTCAGATACATTTTACTGGGCAAAATAATGACTAGCTAACTTCACTCTCAATGACCTTTGACAGTAATTTCAAGAATGCAAAGGAAAAATTACTGATATCTAATGGCAGCACCCTCTGCCACTATTCCTCCCTTGACTGACATTAATCAGGAGTTTCTGTCCATAAAGAGTTTTTTATTTAATGGAGAAAGAAAGCACATGTCACCTTATCTTAGCATCTTACTAAGCAGTAGGTTTGGGATTCATCTGCATGGACTACAGACTCTTTCTGGAGCCCTGAGCCTAATTTTGATGTTGAAAAGATTGTAAAGCAGTGTAATACAAGACAACCTAGGGAAGAAAGAGAGACTGACAGTGAGGGTATGGTGAGACTGATGGTGACTTCTTCTGTAAGTCCCCTTGCTTCCTTACTGGCTAAAAATTATCAGTTGAATATACATAGAAACTCTTAGTGGCCAGAGAAGAGTAATGTCATCCTTCCTTTTTGGCTTTAACGAGATCCCAGAAGAGCTCGTCAGAATCAGGGTTGGATGGACTGAGTGGACATGCTACTCATGGTCTGCCCTTGTCAAATCATCCCAGAGAAAGCCTTGTCCATGTCTAGGCATGGCTGTACCACACTCTCTGGGCCTGTGTGACACAGATGCTGTGGCCCCAGTAATGAAAGCAAGGGCCTACTGTGGCTGAGCTCTAAGCCCTGACAGAGACTAACTCTTGGGTAAAGAAGGGTGAGGATTAGGTGCAGACATTACTAACTCCACAAAATTGATTCCAGGCATGGAACATGAAGCAAGTGTTGAAAGACAAATAAAATGTTTATATCCAGGCCTCCCCAACTGTGGTAAGCTGAATAGTGCCCCTCCCCAAACATGTCCATGACCTAATACCCAGAACCTGTGAATATGTTACCTTACATAGCACAAGAGATTTTATAAACATCATTAAAATAAGTATCTCAAGATGGGACATTATCCTGGGTTATCTGGGTATGCCCAGGGTATTCACAAGGGTTCTTGTAAAGGGGGCCCAAGAGCAGTCAGAATCAGGAAATATGATCACAGAAGCAGAGGAACAAAAAGAGCTGCGAAGATGCTACGCTGCTGACTTTGAAAACGGAGGAAGGGACCATGAGCCATGGAATGCAGGCAGCCTCTAGAAGCTGGAAACACAAGGAAACAGATGCTCCCCTACAGTGTCCAGAAGGAATGCAGTCCTGCAAACCTTTTTTGGACTTCTGATCTCCAGAACTGGAAGATAATAAATTTGTGTTGTTTCAAGTCACTAAATTTGTGGTAATTTGTTATAACAGTAACTGGAAACTAATATGCCAACAGCCTATGCAGACAACATGAGATCAGTTTACTCCTGGCCCCCAAATCACAGCTTAAGTCCCGCCTCATTTGTCAGTGGAAGCACAGGCTTTGTTTGACTCCCATCCACAAATAAAAGGGAAGGCTTACTCCC